TGTTACCCCTAACCCCCATCCCCCCCCCCAATCCACACAGCTGAGGTTATAGAGGTTGAAACTGCTGTCTTGATGGGTTCAGAATTAAAATCAATACTGAAACCACAATAAGTAGAGTCTGATGAAACTCCTCTTTACCATCTGCTCTCCCATGGCTGACTGCGCTTATTGAGATAAGGTTACCATGGACTTTATACTTGAAGGGGATTTGCAGAAAAATGTCCTTCTAGATCTAGATCAGATTGAGCGAGGATTGTATGTTGTAAACATCTGTATGGGTTGCCACTCCCTGAATATGCCACTTACACTTGTGTCCTTAGGGTTGTTGAAGAAGTACAGCATGTTTCCACATAAACAGGTCCATAAACGCCGAGCAACCTGCATCCAGAGAGATATAAGATAAGATCTGCATGTCAACTCAATTTGCATTATAGTTGGACATTTTTAGGCTATATAAAGACACAAAAGTGACAAATCATCTCTTATTGAAGTCTTTCTGGTTGGTTAAATGTCTGTTCAGGGCTCTAACACATAATTTTGACATGCTAATGCTCTGACTCTGACAGCGCAGTAAATGGCAGTCGTCTCTGCATAGATTACTGCGCTGCTGTCTGTAATTATCTGCTCTGTCTGGCTCAATCCTGATCTCAGTGGCAGCTCATGGCTCACACACACACACACACACACACACACACACAACAATCCGGAGCACAACTGTCCTAAATCTGAGACCCACCCCCCTACACACGGTGCACCTGAACCCCTCTGAATATTCCCTCCTGAATATGCGATTCGGGATTGTAATTATCTGCTCTGTCTGGCTCAATCCTGATCTCAGTGGCAGCTCATGGCTCACACACACACACACACACACACACACACACAACAATCCGGAGCACAACTGTCCTAAATCTGAGACCCACCCCCCTACACACGGTGCACCTGAACCCCTCTGAATATTCCCTCCTGAATATGCGATTCGGGATTCATTTGTGTAAGTGGCCCTCTGTCAACACATTTATGCTTCGGGTAATGTTTTAGTTTAGAACTGAAATATATTTGTCTGTACATTGCGCTGTTTAATAGCTACTGCATATTCAGAGTTTTGCATACTGTCTACAGTGTATATATATAAAAATAGAAAATACAATGTAATATAATAGAAAAATTTATTTGGTCACTTCAAGGGAAGATTCAATTTTATTCATACTCACAAAGTACATTGTATTGTTTAGTAAATATTATTGCATATTCAGAGTTTTACACTTTCTGAAGTATGCATACCTATCTATCCGGAGAAAATATAATGCACTATAATAGAACAATTTAATTTAGTTACTCAAAAAATATTTCAGTGACAAAAATAATACACATAATAAAATCCAGACCAATGCAAAATGCTGATACTTTTATCTAAAAAGCATATTTTTATGGACGATATAATGCTGGTATAAAATAAGTCAATAAAATTAAACACTTATTTTGCACAGTATTAACTAACATTTGCATTATGCATTGACAGTAAGGTCGGTATGTTAATGATTTCTAACCTGCGGTATTTATTAACCATATTAATAACTTTTGTGTCTCAAAGTTACATAAAAACAGAATCTGCAAATGTGCACTTTGGTAAAAGTCAGAAGACTGTCAAAAGACTGGAAGATCATATTAGGCTCAATGACAATTGACAAGATTAAACTGTCTGCAGCAGATAACAAAATACTCAGTTCTGCATGTAACATGATAGATGCAATGCAGCAAGAGAGATGCATCTCACTCTAGTGTCTGGGAATGAATTAATTAATGAATGCTTGAGGATTAAAACGCGTGATGGATCATATTAATAATCACACACTTCCGATTGCATGTGGTCTGTATTAAGGTGTGTCCATTACCAGAGCACCTACAAAATGTAAAGCACCAACAGACATAAATAACAGCTCAAATATGAGTTACAGCATTAAAGAGCTGCCAGACAGCGGCATAACGCATGGCACAGCTCGTATAATTAAAATGTACAATCAACATTTGAGTGGTCACTTGGCAAACGAAATAATATTCAGACAGCTGATCCATGCAAACCTCGCCCATATCCACACAATACGCGCGTGCAGCATATGCCATGCGTATGATACGCCGCTGCGCGTGATGATATAATCGGATCAAGTGTTTGACACGTAATAATAGCCGCTTACCTTCTCTTTCGCTCCTCTTTTCTCCAGGTATCCCTCGTAATAGCAGGGCGGCAGCTGCGCTCTCGGGCTCCCGGTGCGCGGGTTCGCGGGCGCCGCTGCCATGACTCGAGCAGCTCAGCCCGGTACTGACACACACACACTAGCAGGACAAAGAGCAACTGGGTGATGTTACTGCCCGGGAAACGACACGCCTTCTTCGGGTGAGAGATGGATGGCATTCAGCTGCACAACAAGCGCCGCACACCCGAGACAGTCAGTATGGCATCTGTGATTACATTATGACCCGCAGGCAGAAATCTCTCCTTTATTTGCTGGAAAGTATAATTGTAAGGTTATAATACTGCTCGTATATTAATGTCTATTTCGAAGATAAGAGTTAATTCTACTGTAATTCAGTTAGAGCTGTAGGTTAATAAAGTATATCATAAATAATATTATACATTATACAATAATATAATTTATTAGAAATATAATTATAAAAGCTATGATATAGGCTAAACATTACGTTAACAACTTTTATGCTATAAATAACATGGTTGTATTAATAACAATGTTTATATAAACTCTTTTTCAGGTGTTACGATACACAAAATTATAAAACAGCCTATATAAATTACTTTTAAAACAGTATGATGGTTCTTTGCTCTAATATTTAACAAAATTGATATTATTCAAACATTTATTATTATTATTATTATTAAATGTTAAATAACTTAAGCTATACCATATATATTTCACACAATATTCCAGATCACATTGATTCCTACTGAAATTACTGAATTTCGCTCGTGAAATTTCATCAAACAATGGTAAATATGACCGCACCTTTAATGTGATTATGAATGTGATATTTCAGTTCTATAAACTGAAATCAAGTATTGTACATTTTAGACAAAAAGTGCTCAGTTAGTTTGTGTATTTCTTCACCGCCAAAGAAGCTTAAAGGGATAGTTCACCCAAAAATGAAAATTCTGTCATCATTTGCTCACCCTCATGAGTTTGTTTCTTCTGCTGAACACCAAAGAAGATATTTGGAAGAATGTTAGTAACCAAACAGTTGCTGGCAGCCATTGACTTCCATAGTGTGGAGAAAAGAATAAGAAAAAAAAAACATTAGAGTGAATGGCTACCAGCAGCTGTTTGGTTACCAACATTCTTCAAAATATCTTCTTTGGTGTTCAGCAGAAAAAAAAAACTCATACAGGTTTTGAAAAACATGAGGTTAGTAAATGACAATTTTCATTTTTTGGTTGAACGATTCCTTTAACGTGCCATTCCAGTGACGCAAAACCTGAGATATATTGAGTGGAGCAAAAAATAAAAATGAACACCTCACTACCGAAAGCATTCTGTAATTAATCAACTCCAGCTCCAGTCCATTATTTCTACTTCCCGTTCACGCTCGCCGGTGAGAGAAACCCACTCAAAGTGATCACTGACCAAGAGAAAACACAGACAGCTATAGTTTTCCACCTTTATTTAAAATGAAAATATACAAATGTTCTCTTAACCCTGCACAATTTTATAACAAAACATAAATCACAAATGGATTACGCAGGAAATACTGATTCAAAGACGCATTCTTTCTGAAACGCTTTCTAAAACACATGATTTCGATTTGAGCTCTAACAATGTTAACCAGGGACAATAAGAGGCACAAACAAGGTTTTCCATTACATATAATACATTCTACCCATAATAGAATATTATTACTTTTAAGTGTAGTGTAAGCAAAATCAGAGGGCATGCAAGATGTTGAGAGTACAGTACTACAGTGCAAGGTAAAATAGTTACCAGAGCAAGACCCGGACCTGAAACCTAGGACCAGCATCCCTCACCCCGAAACACAATGACGTTTATACTTCACAAAAACTCATCACACTGGTTCCTTTCTGGATTAAACAACTGAATTACATGAAATCAGATCTGCTGACTAACATAAATGTAATCACATAAGGAGTAAAAAGGCACATCGAAGGAGGTGAAGGCTGAAATCTTTCTTTCTGAACATGCTGTGGTATATCCTTATCTACGTTGACCTATTAGTACCAATTATTATGAAGCACAACATTGAACATTACGTTTTCCAACAGCTCTGAGTTTCTACTTTTTTTACTACAGTAACTCTAGACAGATTACAGCCTGATCCTAATTTTCACGATTCCCTTGCCAAGAATTCCATTTCAAAATCTGAAATATAATCCGATCCAAAATGCTAGATAATCTAAACCAGTCCAATCTCTTCTTTTAGCATCTAGAACTACTGAGCATGACTATCATTCTAAGATTGTCCTTTAAAAAAAAAAATTGGAAGTATGTACTTGATATTTGCAGTGATTACAGACTGTATCTTCAAAATCAAAAAGTACACAAACAGTAGAGTAATATCGTTATTGCAATGAGAAGACTAGCAAAATTCACAAATACAAAGATATAGGAGCCATGTAAACATTGATTTGGTACAATTTATGCAAGGCAACAAATTTCAATTTTGAATGTCTTGTTTTGTTCTGAAGATGTTGAGTCCCAATGAGTTTATCTATACAGCAGGACTACAGCAGACAAACCTTTTCCCTGAGAAATAGAAACTGAACCAAAATCAGTGGTTAGAGGAACTTCGGATTTCCCTCGAGGAAGTGAAACGGACTAAATCTATAATAATCCAAAAGGCAAACAATCACAAAAGTGGTTCACGCACTTAATTTCCCTTTTCAAGAACTCAACATCCATGTGGAACTCTAATATCTGTAAGCTGAGGTTTTTGAGTGTGTGTGTGTGGCCCACTACAGTTCTCAGAAACACAAGTACAGTGCAGAAGTGGATTTGTAAAGGTTCCCTTTTCCAGAAAAGAGAGCGAGGGATGGTATAATGCGGAAAAAGAAAAGTAAAAATGACTGTTGTGTACATAAACACAAACTGGTACTTCTGGTTCGTCGAACAGCTGGATTTACCTCATTTACATATTCATTTAAAACAGAATTTGCAAGCAGGAAGTGATCATTGTAAAAAATGTATTTAAAGTTTTATTTACTCACCCATGTCACTCAAAACCATATGACTCTTCAACAAAATCAAACTGGATGTGTGTGAAACTAAAGAACTCTATTTTTGAGTAAACTATCCCTGTTGATGCTCATGCAAAGACACCGTTTTATTTTTGTTGACCTCCCTTTTTGTTTTGTTGTTAGAGTCAACTCTATTAATGCACAGCTAAAGTGCATTTAAAGGGATAGTTCACCCAAAATTGTCATCATTTGCTCACCCTCAACTTGTCCCAAACCTGTATGAATTTCTTTCTTCTGCTGAACACAAAAGAAGATATTTTGAAGAATGTTGGTAACCAAACACTTGATGGTACCCATTGACTTCCATAGTATTTTTTTTCCATCATATGGAATTCAGTGGCTACTGTCAACTGTTTGGTTACCAGCATTCTTCAAAATATCTTCTTTTGTGTTCAGCAGAAGAAAGAAATTCATACAGGTTTGCAACAACATAAGGTGAGTAAATGATGACAGAACTTTCATTTTTGGGTGAACTGTCCCTTTAAGGGAAATAAAACAAACCCAGTACAACTAAAGCCAGTGGGAAAGGATTAGTTAATCAATCATGAGATTCAAATGAACAACTGCATTATAAAGTAAAATAAGTTGTATTCAAACACATTGAGCTTTGCACCATTCGGAAAGAGCCGAGCTGTGATTGACAAACGCTAGGCAGCATTTTAGGTGTTATACACAACTGTGGCCACTATAGGTCAGTGATTACCAACAGAAGACACTTCTTTGTAACATCATTATAGGAAACTGATATGAAAATAAAATCCATTTGACTCTAGAATGAACACTCCCAAAATTGATTTATCTTTGACATACTTCTCAATGATGTTTATTGTACTTTGGGGAATGCTAGAGTTTCCTAAGATGAACTAAAACGCTGGACCTGAAGCCTAAGTAACAAATAATAATCCAGACTCATACTGTATGTTATCCAACATTTCTTTCAGGAGGTCAAAGTGCTCATAGTGAAGTCACAGATTTCCCCCTTTTCCCTGTCCTGTACCTGATATTGCACTTCCTCTTCCTGTTTAGTGTGGGATCAGTGCCGCAGCGGCACCATCACCTCTACGTAGTTAGAGGGGAACAATCCGGCCTGGCCACGCAGGGTTCCCTCGAACCAGTTCTCATCTATTTGATTGGTCAGCGTGATGACGTCGCCCTCGCAGAAGCCAAGCTCTCCGTCGTTCTCCGCTTCAAAGTCGTACAATGCCTTGCAGCATGGCTGATCTGTCACTATGGAGATGGAAGATTGCATTAGAATAGAGCAGATAAAAGGTGAAGATGCACAGAGAGAGGGAGGAAAGGTAAACAGAGCGAGAAAGAAAATAACTATTAGAGGACAGATCACTGTAAGTATGCATAAGCACATCAAATTAAAAGGGCTTTTTAACCTGAATTATTTAATAAAGCATTAGCGAAACTTTATATTTTAATGACGCTTTGCAACCATGTTACATGAATACATTTTCAAAACACTGAGTTGTATAATTGTTCATTTGTAACTAGCAATTTCCATAATAATGAAATTCTAGGTTAATAAAAATAATAAATCAGAATAATAATTCATAAAATAATAATTAATTCATTAAATTTGTAAATTGTATTCATTTGTAAAATTCTAAACAATATTTTTACATTGACACAATATATTAATATATATGCATTATACATTTATTTTAAACAATATTATATTTTATATTAATTATTTATACTAAAATAAAAATACACTATAATGGGTAACAAGGTGTTAAGGTGTTGGTTTATAATTATTAATAAACCTGTATTTCCTATACATTAAAAAAAGTTTTCTGGATAATTTTTCTTACAATAATCTTGGCAGTCAACACTAAAATTTGTGTAAAAATGGACAGTCGATGCATTTAAAATTAGCTTATTTCCATACTGTGTTAATTTCATGTGAGACAATAGTTTATCTAACATATCTAATAGTGCTCTCTCCAAAGAACCGGGTACTGGTACCTTTACTGAACAAAAAATGAGAGACGGCCATTTGTATTCAACTTGTGGAAAAAAGTGCTAACAAAATGAAATTGTGTCTTTAATGAAAACTGACATATACCAATCATATTTAGCATTAAGCACATGCAATACTACATTCATGAAAAGGTGTGCCTTGGTTTAATTAAGAAAGTTAAACAAACACAGACATTTACCAAAGAAAATGGCCAATTCTGCTACCTCCAAACATGCAGGTCCTAAAAAGATCAATATTAGCTCTCAAGCAATCCAAACCCACCGCATGCTAGTTACGTTAGCATGTTAGCATTAACGTATCGGAATCACTGCAAATTGTGGTGCATGTGCTGCCTATGTAGTGCATTCCAAATCAGTCACTTATGAAGTTCCATTTAGGTTAGGATGCTGTCTTCGAAGATACCCTATTTAGACAGTAGACAGCGAGGCAGCTTGTTGTGTATGTGTGAGATGTTCTTAAACTGTTCATGCACAATCAAACAAGCTGGATAATTCAACACGTGGCAGATTGAGCACTTGTTTGATTTATCTTATGAAGGGAAACTAAACGCGTCTCACTCACAGAGCATCTCATACACACGAGTGGGTTTGTAATATGTGTGAGTGCTTTTAGGCTCTCTCCAAAGAACCGGGGACTGGTACCTTTACTGAACAAAAAATGAGAGACGGCCATTTGTATTCAACTTGTGGAAAAAAGTGCTAACGAAATGAAATTGTGTCTTTAATGAAAACTGACATATACCAATCATATTTAGCATTAAGCACATGCAATACTACATTCATGAAAAGGTGTGCCTTGGTTTAATTAAGAAAGTTAAACAAACACAGACATTTACCAAAGAAAATGGCCAATTCTGCTACCTCCAAACATGCAGGTCCTAAAAAGATCAATATTAGCTCTCAAGCAATCCAAACCCACCGCATGCTAGTTACGTTAGCATGTTAGCATTAACGTATCGGAATCACTGCAAATTGTGGTGCATGTGCTGCCTATGTAGTGCATTCCAAATCAGTCACTTATGAAGTTCCATTTAGGTTAGGATGCTGTCTTCGAAGATACCCTATTTAGACAGTAGACAGCGAGGCAGCTTGTTGTGTATGTGTGAGATGTTCTTAAACTGTTCATGCACAATCAAACAAGCTGGATAATTCAACACGTGGCAGATTGAGCACTTGTTTGATTTATCTTATGAAAGGAAACTAAACGCGTCTCACTCACAGAGCATCTCATACACACGAGTGGGTTTGTAATATGTGTGAGTGCTTTTAGCAGGTGGCTGATTCACACCACTCATTTTCAGTAAGATTTGAAGCTGGAAAAAAATCTGGCATAGAATAAAAGCCCTTAACCATGCCGAGTGTGTGTTTGTGTGTAACTCACTATTGCGTTTTTGACGTGAAGACGCCCTGTTAAAGGAGGGGGCCGCTGGCGTAAAAGAAAGAGAAACAATAGTCAGTCTTTGCGTGGCTCCACACACAGTTCACAGTGAAAACCAACTGGCACAGACATCAAATACACACACCCATCCACACAAACATGCATGACGAGCTCATCTTCACACAGAATGGCATACTACGTGTACTGCTTCAGCAGGATGTATACAGTGAATTTTCTTTATGCACATTTACCAAAATGTGCTGTACACAACAGAGCACACTGCCACAGATACTATATCCCACAATGCAATGCATCAGTGTTGTTATTGTTAACTGCAGCAAAATAAAAAAAAATAGAGCAAATTAAAAATGTTACCTTGGCAAGGTAACGAAAATTTAAAAAAAAACAAATAAATAAAAACAAATTAAAGCTATATTTAATATAAAAAACGAATAAAAATGACAAAAGCATAACAAAGCATGAACTAAAATTAAAATGATTCAAAACATTAATAAATACTATAATAGTACGTAACACTGCAATGCACTTAATTTGACCTATTAACATTTTTTGTTATTTGAAAAAAAAAATTATAAACAAAATAAAATAATAGATGAAAAGCTTAGACTTAAAAAAATGTAACAAAAAAGAGAGACTACCTGAAATATGTTCAAGTTAAAGTTTTACAATTACTAAAACTAAAACTGAAATAAAAATAAAGCTAAACAGAAGAAAAAACAAAAACTAATGAAAATGACAAAATTACTAAAACTTAAACCAAATTAAAAATAAAAGCCAATTCAAAATATTAATAGATACCATAATAATATATAAATAAGAAAATAACACTGAAATGCACTCAACTTTACCAGTGATGAATGCATGATTTTAAATCACTTTCTTGACTCAATAACTGATCAGACTCCCAAAATTCAGTGTGTGTGAATCAGCGAATGGCTGAAAAAAATCTAAATGCTGTCTTGATTGAGCAATTGAAAAAAGTTAATTATTTTTTCAGCATATAAATAAACTTTTACGAGAAATAAGCATTTTCGTCAGTAAAAATTGGCTTTGCTATGTTTAAAGCTCACTTCAGTTTGTTCTAGATTAACAGACATTACATTATTGTGCCTTGGAAGGCAGCTTGAAACCTCAGACAGTCTGTTTCCATTTTACACAAAATCAAAACACTTTAGTAAGTCACTGACTGTCTGGGCAGCCCGACTGGCATAGGTTTTGGAAAGCCAACGTTTTAAAATACTAAGTATTATACAGTATACACTCTACAGCATGCAGTGTTCCATACGGAACATGAGTTGGTTAATCAATTGCGTTGTCTTGTCTCGTCTCCGTGGAAACTAGAGACTGTATGAGAATGAACTCAGTCTGTCTTGTGCAGCAGGTGGAAATCTGAGCTTCTCGTTACGTAAATCAATGAAAATGACCTATTAGACTGATTTCCATTAACCCTTGCTCTTGATTAAAAAGATTTTCAGAAGAAAAAGCTGTAATGTGTGAACCCAAGCATCATTCAGGCAGGCAATTAAATTACGTGAAGGAAGGTCTAAAAGAAAGTTCCTAAAGGAAGGTCTGTCATTTGCACACGTAATGGCTTTCGGTGTTTCATATCTACTGTTACCATTCAGACTGTGACTTTCTGACAAATTAAAATCAAATCTAGGCCACCTCAAAAATGTTGCTTAATTTACAGTCGAGTCTGCATGTGTTAAAGCACACCGTCGCTGCTGTTGATTTATTTTTTATTATTAAAGGAATAGTCCACCCAAAAATTAAGATGTAGATTAGTTTGTTTCTTCATTGGAACAGATTTGGAGTAATATAGCATTGTATCACTTGTTCACCAATGAATCCTCTGCAGTGAATGGGTGCCGTCAGAATGAGAGTCCAAACAGCTGAGAAAAACATCACAGTAATCCACACCACTCCAGTCCATCAGTTAATGTCGTGTGAAGCAAAAAGCTGCGGGTTTATAAGAAACAAATCCATCATTAAGGCGTTTTAACTTTATACTTTTGCTTCTGGCCAAAATATGAGTCTATAATTCATAATAACCACTCCTCCAGTGAAAAAGTTCATCCCCTGTTGTCCTTTCACATCAAAATCTACCGTTATATTTGTTTAGAATTGTTTTTGACTGTTTTCTATTATAAATGGTGCTTAAAACAGTGCATAGTTAGCTTTATTATGGGTTATGGACTTTAGCTGGAAGCAACAACTTTGAGGTCAAAACATTTTAATGATGGATTTGTTTCTCACAAACACACAGCTTTTTACTTCACAAGACGTTAATTGACGGACTGGAGTCGTGTGGATTATTGTGATGTTTTTATCAGCTGTTTGGACTCTCATTCTGACGGCACCCATTCACTGCAGAGGATCCATTGGTGAGCAAGTTATGCAATGCTAAATTTCTCCAAATCTGTTCTGATTGTCTGAAGAAACAAACGCATCTACATTTTGGGTGGCCTGAGAGCGAGTAAACTTTCAGCAAGTTTTTATTTTTGGGTGAACTACTCCTTGAAGCCTTATGTAAATGAACAGGGTGAGCTCACCTGTGGACAGGTGTGATGATGGCACAGCTGACGGACTCCAGCCTCCGTTGGAGTCTTCCGAATCCAAGCAATCAAAACTGGGTCTGGACACAGGCATCCGTTTCTGGCGTGGCTGAGATTGGGCCTTGTTTACTCTGCAGAGCACATACACAAACATGAACACAAATGCATGCAAACACAAACACACACACACAGGCTGCACACAGCTAAACCATCTATCAGGAGAAAGAGGCTGAAAATATTTCACCAAAAAATGAATCTATTATATATAGAACACTTGAGGTATAGTGCAGAGGCCATATGGACTTCTTTAATAATGTTGTTGCAATGCTTTTGCATTCTATTTGCTTGAAAGCTTTAGTCCCCGTTCAATGTAACTGCATAGAAAAAAAATGACCATGAACATGAATCAAAATTTCATTTTGTCACATGGGTTTGGAATGACATGACGAATATTTATTTATGTGATGAAGACACAGAAGGATACAACAGATCTTCATCTCTAACCTTTCTCTCATTCTCTGTGCCAGCTCCTCCAGGACCTCCACAGACTGTCTGTGAAACTGCAGCTGTGATTCGACCAAAGCTGTGAGCTGACTCACCTGCTCCACCTACAAACACACACACACACACACACAACACACAACCACGCACATGCAGAGTATCAAAAGATGTTATTGCCTTAGAATAATGAGCTATATCTGTAAGCTTCCTCTTCTATGCTTCACTGATTTTGCATTTCTATTTCTGTTACTTCACGAGGGCTTCAACTTTCAGGAAACCCATCTCAATAACCAAATGTATTTTTCCTACAGCATTGCTAAACAATCTTGTCTTTAGCATAAACCTCACTAAATTTTTATTTATGAAATGACAAACGGGACACTCTACGCACCTGTGGCTTTGCAACAAGGTTATTATAGAAATTAAAACTAAAACTGAAACTAAACTAGATTCGAGTTTTGTTACTTGAAATAAAAATGTTAACTGAAATAATTTTTTTTTTAATTCAGCTAGCTGCCAACTCAACGTTTTATTTGACTAAATAACTAAAAATTTAACTGAAATAAATTAATAGAAACTATATAGACATATTGTATCAAAAAAACAAAAACTATTAAAAATGACAAAAACGCACAACAAAATTACTAAAACTTTAAAATGATAATGGAAAAATAAAAACTGATTCAAAATAATAATAAAAGCTACAATGATATTAAAACAGCACTGCTTTCCACAGCATAAACATCACAACACAATGTTAAAACTAACATTGCATCAATAAATTAAAACTACAGCTTAACCCTTTGAGGAGTCATACTGAAGAGTTTAAAGTACAGCTGTATGCAAAGATGTTCAAATATGCTCCTGAAAACAGCTGGAAGGAGCTTTACATTCAAATCATAAATCATAACACTGAGTTTTATAAAATAACATTTTTTTTTTTAAATGCACATGATGTATGACTCTTTTGTCACTTCTTCGACAATGAACATTCCTATGTTGACCCAAAAGAGCCATACGTCAGTTTAAATGTCATACATCATGCGCATTTGTTAAGATGCAATATGCAAAATACAATAAATATTATAATATTCATGAAAATTCACAGTGCAGTCTTTCCATGTTACTTTGATATATACCGCTGAACTGATCAACTATTACTGTATACATGGCAAATAGAGGAACTTTTTGTTAGTGTGCATTAATGACCATGTTTAATTACAGGCCTGTGTTTAAGACCAACGTAGCAAATAATCAGAAACATCCCAAATTTTTCAGTGTCGATAAAACAGACTGATAAATGTGTTGGCTCAGCAGACAGTCTGGAAAATATCCAGCACTCACTGATGTGGATCACTGTAGCAACAGTACAATTATATGACTCTCCCTGGTCCCGGACGATAAAAACTTTCCAATAGGGCGTCATTTAATTAGAATTTTAGTGCTGTTCGCTCAGGCAAGCATCACTGTTACTATTACTCATTACTTTAAGAAAAACTGAAAGAATCTAAGCAACCAATAGTATAATTTATTGTATTTTGTATTGTATTTTGATATTTTCAAGGTTTGTAACGCTTTCCAAAATGAAAAGACAAAGTTTCAAATCGTAGTTTGCATATGGCTTTTAAAACACATCTGCACCTAGACATTTTCATTGCTGTTTTGACAGGCGCTTTTTACAAAAGCGATTTGTGACAAAGTCTGATTACCATTAAAAAACAGCTAATAATAAACCACATCCTCAGTGTTAAGAATGCCACCAAAGCTCGAGATCCATATATACCTTTCAGCATTTTAAAAAGGAGGTGATCAGAGCCTGACTCCAACAGGCTGAATTGAGCTTACGTCAGTATCCAGAAGGTTCTGCATGCTGGTTTCAGCCACTTCTTTGGACTCTTCGAACTTCTCTGCTGCTTGCCTGAGCTCCTCATCCGGAATCTTCCCCTGACGCTTCTTCTTGTAGTCGTAATCCAGTCGACGGCCCTCCAGTTTCTTCAGATAGTGCTGAGGACGAATCAAGAGCATATTATTATTAACAGCCCATGATTACAATATGAAACAAATGCTCATACATTTAGCCCACGACTCATACATATTTAATGAATAAACTTTGATTTGATTTTAGAGTGCAATTGATTACAGTTTTCCACCTGTATGTCTTTCAGCTCCTTGTCGACTATAGTTTGGAAAGGGTCGATGAAGTTCTGTTTGACGTCAATGTCTAGAGAGTCTTTTACTTCTGCCAGTCTCTTCATGGCCTCTCCCATCTCCACTAAAGCGCCACCTATGGATCCGACGAGGAACATGCACAAAAATGTTATGTTAAAAACAAATAAAAAGATACTAGAATGTCTGTATTAAACAAAGAGAAATATAATACTCTTAAAGAACAGTCCTCTCACCAAAGTTGGTGTCCTCTCCCATGTCTCCGCCGTATTTGAGCATACACTCTCCCAGAAGGCCTTCTGCCTGAGGGTAACCTGGGCTCTTCACCTGCCCCCGCATTTTAGACATGGTGTTCACCATGGTCAGCCTCGCTCTTGATGCTGCAGTACAAGACAAACAGACGGACAGATGAATAAACAGAAATATACACTGCAAAAAAATCATATTTTCTTCTTGTTATATTTTAGTCTTGTTTTCCAGAACTTGTGTTCCTAAACACTTAAATCAAGATACATCTACTTATGAAACAAAATGACTAAGATATTAAGTTAAGCATAATAAAATGTAAAACAATTCACGCTATTCAAGATGTAGATAAGTTTGTTTGTTCATCAGAACAGAGTTTGAGAACTTTTGCATTACACTACTTACACACCAGTGGATCCTCTGGAGTGAATGGGTGCCGTCAGAATGGGAGTCCAAACAGCTGATAAAAACATCACAATAATCCACAAGTAATTCACACCACTCAAATCCATCAATTAACATCTTGTGAAGTGAAAAGCTGCAAGGAACAAATCCATCATGTTGTTTTAATTTTTCATTGTCGCTTCTGGCAAAAATACGAGTCCATAATCCGTAAAAACGCTTCATCCAGTGAAAAAGTCCATCCCCTGTTTTCCTCTCACACCAAAACCCATCAACATACAGTATTTGTTTAGAACTGCTGAGACTTTTTCTGTTTGTAAATGGTGCTTGATTTGTGCATATTTCTCTCCTGATTCAGATGAGATGACCTGTTCACTGGAGAAAGCAATATGGATAGAATACGCTTTAGCTGGAAACAACGGTTCGAAGTAAAAAATTATGGATTTGTTTCTTACAAACACACAGCGTTTCGCTTCACAAGATGTTAACTAATGGACTGGAGTGGTGTGGATTACTGCAATGTTTTTATCAGCTGTTTGGACTCTCATTCTGACGGCACCCATTCACTCCAGAGGATCCACTGGTGAGCAAGTGATGTAATGCTACATTTTTTTCCCCCAGTGTAAAAACAATTATAAACTGTATCTTGTATATGACTTTAAATTCAGCACATGGGGAATATTTAGTCCATGTTTTCACCTGGGTTAGGCTGCAGGTATTCAGTAGTTTTGCAGAGCACATCTGATATGGCTTTACTGGTGACGTCAGCCTTCTGTGAAGCACAAATGTCAGAGAACAGTTGTGTGTCTTTACATCACACTGTCAACAGACGCGGCTCACTAAATCACTTATCTACAGCTCTCACTGACAAAGAAGTGAGACAGACCTGAAACAATCAGCACCGGTCACACCTACAAAAACAACAGCCATTCAAGAAGCGGACTGATACCAAGTTAAAGGAATATTTCAGACGGTTTACAACATAAGCTCAACAGACCGTGGCTTGCTGTGGTTTACCACAGAAAATAATGCAAATAATGCATTTAAACCAGAAATGTAAAGCTTGTATTAATGCTAAAGCTCTTACAGGAATTAAGCAGTAGAAATGTGAGTTATGAGCTCTGAAGTTGTTTGAGAAGTCATTTTGAGGTGGGGCTACTTCTCTAGGTGGAGGAACTTCCGTTTATGCATAGGCTAACTGACGCACTTTGGGTGGAAGTGGTATTAACCACAAAAGACTTGTGATTTTGCAGGATAAAATGGGTAATAATGGGCTTTTAAAGGGTTAGTTCACCCCAAAATGAAAATTAGCCCACAACTTACTCACCCTCAAGTCATCCTAGGTGTATATGACTTTCTTCTTTCAGACGAATCCAGTCGGAGTTATATTAAAAATAGTCTTTGATCTTTCAAGCTGTTTAATGCCACTCAGCGGGTGTTGCATGCATCAGTCCAAAAGTTAAATAAAAAGCGCCCATCCATAAAAAAAAAGTCTCTCACACGGCTACGGGGTCTCACACGGCTCTCTCAAAAGGCCTCCTGTAGCGAATCGATGCGTTTTTGTAAGAAAAATATCCATATTCAAAACGTAATAATCATTTTAAAACACCCGCTGAGTGGCATTAAACAGCTTGAAAGATCAAAGACAATTTTTAATATAACTCTGACTGGATTCGTCTGAAAGAAGAAAGTCATATACACCTAGGATGACTTGAGGGTGAGTAATTTGTGGGCTAATTTTCATTTTTGGGTGAACTAACCCTTTAACATTATATTTTAAAGACACCATCGCAAAACATAAAAAAAACAGCAAATTATAAAGCCTTTGTTTATCATTTATTACAAACAATTATCTGAACATGAATTAATTTTGTAACTGCATTTCAGTTTGTGCTAAGTGGAAGTGGAAATAGTTTATATCCTATACAATTATTTGCTAGTTAATTTTTTTGGCCAGTCATTCACAGCTTTGTGTTTGTGTAGAGGATGTTTTTAGTTAATTTGACAGTTTTTCTTACAAGAACAGTATTTCTTACAACAACTTCCTAAAAGTAGGAAGAAGGAAGTCTTGGTTGTATTTAGTAGAACTTGATATTGGCATCGCAATGTGAATGTTAAAAATGTGTTACCCTCTCAAGGTCTTTGAAGTCCTCATCCAGTTTGGTTCCTTCTGCGCCTCCCACCTTCTCACTCATCAACTGAAACACACACACATGTCGGGACTTCTATCAGTACAAGGACTTTCAATAGGCATAATGTGTTTTTTTTTTTTTTTAGCTTATGCTATTTTCTATCCCCCTAACCCTTACAAAAAACATTCAGCAAAACTTTATTTTAGTATTACGCTAATAAGAGCCATCATCCTTCAGGAAACATGCATGCACACATTTAGTGAGTTTGCATGATAAAATGCTAAAATGCAAGAAACATTCATTGGTTTGCAAATGGAAAGTTGAAGAGACAGGCACCAGCATTCATCATCTCTCATGTTGAAGCCTCAGACTTTCATTTAATTACCTGCTGCACTTTCAGTTCACGTTAAAGAGCGAGCGGAAAAGAGCAATAGTGTTTGGCATGTAAAGAACTTAAAATATGTTTTAATTTGTTGACTTTTGTGAGTGTGTTCACATAAGAAGCTGTAAAATTTTACTTTGTCACTCTAAAAAAAAAAATAACAACGACAAAAATGTTTAGAATGAAACCACATTCACCTGTTCAGTGTTATTTTGGTATCATTGATATACTTTTATAGGTTTTGTTAATATATTGAATCTGATTTTATTTTTATACTTTCTGTTTTCACTTTAATTTGTTAATTTTGTTGTGTTATTATTATTTTTATTAGTTTTTTAATAGTATTTTTAAGCAGTTTTAGTTTATTTACAGTTATTTTAGTAATTCAAATTAAAGGGGTTATATGATGTGATTTCAATTTTTCCTTTCTCTTTGGAGTGTTACAAGCTCTTGGTGCATAAAGAAGATCTGTAAAGTTTCAAAGACTAAAGTCTCAAATCCAAAGAGATATTCTTTATAAAGTTAAGAGTCAACCACGCCTACCTAAAACGGCTCGTTCTAACACGCCCCCACATGTCTATGTCACGATGTGGGAAGATTTGCATAACACCGCCCAAATGTTCACGCAAAGAAAGAAGGCGTAACTTTTATTCTCGCTGTAGTATTGTTGTTGCCACCGCCGCCATGTCGTAAAGACGCTGTGTTTCGTTGTGAAAACGAAACTACTTTGTTTGGCCTTCCAAAAGAGGACGATGTTCTGACTCACAGACTGTAAGTATGTTTTTTTATACTTAAAGAATTTGCCACTGATGATTCAAACGCGAGTTTTGAGCAGTGTAGAGTAGGGGTTGCACCGACTAATCGACTAGTCGACTTCAATGCTCTACCATGATGCTTTAAGCTTGACGTCGACTAGTCGCTGGACCTATAGAGGGCACAACAGGATAAGAAGTCTTTGAAGGACTTCCACATTTACGCTCCATTTCCCACACGCTTAAGGTATTCGGCCAATCACAACGCACATGATAGCTGGCCAATCAGCGCACACCTCGCTTTTCAGACCGATGAGCTTTGTAAAAATCGACGCGTTTCTGAAAGGCCGGGCATAGAGGAGAAACAATAATGTGCAGTATGTGGAAAATAATGTGTTTTTTGAACCTTAAACCGCATAAACACATTTCATTACACCAAATACACAAAATAATGTTCTTTTTAGCAACATCACATGACCCCTTTAAACAAAACTTTGCAAATAGCTGAAATGAAATTTTAATATACTTTTTTCAGTTAACGTTATTTCAATCCACAAAAATCTTTTTTTTATGGCTTTAGTTTTGAGTAACCCTGCTCCTGATACGTTGTGCTTTACTGCTCATGTGGGTGTTGCAGGTTCAAGTCTCTGCAACATTTCCCAAGTCTATTCCCCTTCTCTATCTATTATTTCATACACTCTCCACTATACTGTACATCCATCTAATTAAAAGAGGCAAAAGCCCAAATGAAACGGAAATATTAACATGAAAATAATTTGTACAAAAAAATAAAAATAAATTATATATATTAAATAAAATAATTTCTGAAAATTAAGATCTCAGAAACTGCTTTACCCAGAAAATATGAGTTCCATATTCCCATGTAAAACTCACCACCATGTCATAGGGTGTTGAAGGTGGTTGCCAAAGCATTGCTATGCAGTTGCTAAGGTGATTTTTAAATAATTTCTTATTAGGCCATATCAAAAGAGTTTTATTGACCACCAGGTGACAACTGAAAGTCAAATCACTTAGAGACCTAAAAGCACACTTCTCCTTAGCCTTAGCAAACACTACTAACAACAATTGTGTGTAGAAGAGAAAAAATAAATAACAGCAAAGGAAAGAAATTCAGGCAGGAATGGACTCTAGGGGCCCCTGTGGAGTTCCCCATCAGAGCTCCTCCTGTTGTTTGTCAATGATACTTCCTGTAGGGGCGGCACAAATGCTTTCACTCAACTTTCACACAAAAG